CCTACAACATCTATGGTATTTTTGCCGATATTTAATACAATATGTACCTAGGTAATAGAGTCCTACAGTTTTGACCTTTAACTACGATGTATTGGTTCATTTAAATTAAACTACTTTTGTACACTGTTCGCGTGTAATATAGATAATTGATGTTGACGTTCTATGCACAATGTGGATCATCCCCATTCAAGCCTCGAGAATTTGGGTACAACTTAAAAAAAAAAATTGTTACCATTTAATTGCAGGTACTTGCATTTTTTAATATTCTGTGAAGAAGTTTAAGATAATTATTTTATATCTTGTATTATTTATAATAGTGCATACGAATTGTTAGAAGTTGGCTTTTGACAGAATATTTGTATAGTAATTTGTACACATAAACATTAGTTTTCATTAAACAACAAACAGGAATACCTGAAAGTTAAGCCTTTAGTGTGTCTATATTAAAAGAAAGAAAGTACAGGTACGATTTTATTGTTAGAGATTGCAAGTTTCAAATGTTTTTATGTGGTATGGACAATTGGATAAATATTTTTCTAGCTAGTTTAGTGAATTTACATAATATAACTATAGGAAAGTTGATTTTGAAATAAATAACAAAAAATATTTACTGTAGGTACCCAAATTGGTGTTATTACTTATTTCTGATTTTTTTGTTTAAAAATCCCCATAATTAGCAGGGAGAATTTTGAAACCGTTGGGTGATACATTATTATTTTAACTTAAAGTATTTTTTCATAAAATCAGCGTATATTAAGTTATGTTTTAATAATACAATCACATATTTGTATGGCTTATAAGGTTGTATAAAAATTGTCTATTTCCTTTTTATCCTATTTAATATTATATATATAATATACCTAATAAGTTACCTGATTCTAAACTATTTAAGAGCGTTTTTAGAGTTTCAGTCGAAACATTTATGTTATCATCGCATGATGTTGTTATTTTGTCAGGCTGAATACGTTAATAATTCTAAATCGAATTATGTCCTGAACAACCTTTCCTCGTATTAATATATTATCTTTTTCGTTGATCTGGTGTGTCGTGCATAATCGACGATAATAATAATTCATTTATTATTATTCGGCACTACCTACCCATAATCATAATAATATATTCATATAATATCATTCAACCGCAAGACCGGCCATGTGAAGCGACTGCGTAATTGTTTTAGGTGAACAATGTTGTTATAGTTTTTACTAATTTTTAAGGGGGCCTGCTCGTGCGTCTTTATTGAGGGGCAGTATTTAGGCAATATGCAATTTCGTTGCGGCCGCCCATGGCATTAGTGTTAGTCGTCAACGATAATTAGTGTGAGTGTGACTGTATGCGGGTGCTGGTCCATCTACGTACACGCTGCACGCCTACACATATCAACGGCATCGCCAACCAAAATAAAAAGCATGATTTTTTGCACAAAACACGCTCAACAAGAAAAACTCTCACGCATCGCAGAATATTCAGATTTGATTTACTTTTTTTTTGTTAGTTAGAGGATAATTTTCTACAGGGTGCATTGAACACAAATTGTAAAGACTGATGCACTATTTAAGATGTCGATAATACACCGCAATTAAGTATAGTAGTCATTTTTTTTTAATTTTCTTTTTTAACCATATTGCTGTAATAAAATGTGTAATCATAAAATATGAATATCGTACATAAAAATATTACGTTTCGTTACAACACACACTACAATATCTTCACCCTTCTCGTGTTTATTGAACCATGTAAATAAAAAAATTCAAATTGTAAACAGATATTGAATACAGAAATCTTAAATTGTTCTAATACGGTATTTTTCTGGGCTATTTATTGTTAATTTTTAGTTATTATCAAATTAAATGATTAGGTTAGCGAAACGAGTGTTTCAGAATTTCTTGTAATGCACCTAATTATAACATCAAGCTCGTGAGATTTACGAGGAATAGTTATTTCAATTGAGTTTTAAATACCTTGAGCATTATTCCAAAGTGCCAAGACGTCTACGTATATAAGTCCTTTTAAACGTAATCATTTTTATTTTTAATTACATATTTTATTTTAAATAACAACAAAACCGGAGAAGTTACTCTGCTATATAGCAGTCAGTAGATTTAAAGTATACCTCGACTCTGAGTCGTCATGATAAATTATTGAATACGTAAACTGATTCTGTGCGGAGATAGATTGTCAGCTTCTTCTTCGTAATTTATTTTTATAACTAATTTTATTTTTCAGTTAGGGTTATCTATTAATGCACTTAACTAATTTTTTCAAATATATTGTATCATATATTATATTATTACTTTACATGACGTTATGTCATAATTTTATGTCGTTGCTTCTAACTAATAATAAAATACCGTATAACTTATAACGGTGTGAAAAGTTTCGTATTACACAAAACTTAAAAAGAGTTTAAATATTTATAATTATAAATTTAATTCCGTAAAGAAAATACATGCACCCAATGGTGATAATTTTCAAGTTTCTACCATGAACAATTATTGAATTACAACTTAGTAACTTAACGACTTAGGTAGTGATGAAATTATTGATTTCAAAAGTGTGTTTTGTGAGGATACTTTTTTTAGTGTGTAGAAAATAAGCTTCGATCTTCAACATCGAGGATGATTTCTAACAGAAAATTGATTTTAGTTTTTTCTCAGAGGGTCAAAATAAAGAAGGAAAAACGAAAATGTTTACGCAAACCCAGTATTCAACTAAATCGATTTGATTTTTTTGTACTTTTATCATTTAAAAAAATACTATTGCTTTTTTTGTGCTATTTATTAAACATCTATTCTTTTTTTAAATCTAAGAACATTGTCTTGTCTCTGTGTTTTCCTTCTCTTTGCTCTGTTAATTACTAAAATAGTGTATAATAGTTGCTTGTTAAGAACGATAACGCAGTGGTTTCCTCTCGTTTACTACATAACTTTCTTTATGAGATACATTGTGGAGTATATCCTAACCTACAGCCTGGAGGACCAGACCTATTCGACCAACAGGTCAGGGAGGTGACTGTTGTAGGTAGGTACACGTGTAATGCACTGAGCAATAGACAAATCATTTTCCCTATGCCTAAATGTATTATATAGCCTATAGATATATAAAAAACTAAAACAATTTCTTCGTTTCATTAAAAAAATAATCCTGGGAAGTTGCTCTGCTATCTCTATAGTAGGTACACTCGGGGAGTAGTTTGATGTAATATGCACATTAAAAAATAATTCAATGATAAATCACGATGAAAAACGATTCTAAGCAAAGATCGTCTATCAGCCTATATTTCTAAATATATTGTTTAATTATATACATTTATAAAGCTAGGTTAGAAATTATAAAGAATATATTTTTTTATTAGAATTTAATAAGAAAGCTGATTAAACATATTTTTGAAAGAACAACTTATAAAACTAAAAACATAGTATGCAAATGTGGGGTCCTCTGGAGTCTCCAGTTATTTTTTTCAATTTCAACAAAAAAAAACATTATAAATTTTGTCGAAAACTGGGTTGACATAAACATTCCAGTTTATCCATAATTTTTTTTTTTAGATTTCCCAATTATTTTAAAAATACCAGTAATTTTTTTTATTTTATCCCCATTCCCCCAAGTATTAATACTAGATCCAATTTTCTTCTAAAAATCATCCTTGAAGTTAAATTTTACTACTCCAAAAGGTGATGGCAGACAACAAAAATATAAACATAATATACATCAATCCATCTTTATAAACTGATACACTTGCCTTTTGCCAAAACCATAAGATATTTACGCAGATTAAAATGCCATAGGTGTTATAGACAAATCACGTTTGAAAACTGTTGATTACACATTTATATTGTGTTAAATAGATAAGTTTATTTAGACAACATATCAATACTATACAATACAACAACATCAACATAAATCTTATTATATAAATATTATTTCACACAAATTTTGAAATTATAATGGGTCTGAGATATTATATACAAATATTGTTCTTAAGTTCTTTTAAAAGTAAACACTCATTTTTAAGTAAAATATTTAAGTTTTAAAAAATATATTATCACGTGGTTCGGAAGTGACGCGTGACGCAGAGATATACCACAAAATATTGATTCACTACTCTGCTAATCAAAACTTTAAAGAATAATTAATTACTACTATTTTTTTTTTTTAATCAAATTTGTATATTTTTAAATTTTCAAAAAGAATTTTGATTTGGAATATTATATTTAAAATCTACGCAGGCATTAAAAAAGTAAAAATTAAAACGATTCAAAATAGTAAAAATAACATTTTTTTTTTTCAAAAATGTTGCTGTCGTGGTTTTAAATGTTGTTAAAAAAATAATCCAAAAACGGTAATATGTTTTTTAATAAAATGAGAGTTTTACCTTTAAAAGAATCGACTAGTTTACTTATTTAGGCACTGAATGATAAATAGTTTGCCAAGTTTGTACATTCTTTTGATATAAATACGTGTATAAACATTAACCAATTGAGCGTATGTAAAATGTAAAATGGACGTTCACTTACACCGAATATTTAGGAATGAGCAATTTTAAAGTTGATTAAAACACAGTTTTTACTTTTACTTTTTAGATTTAAGAATATCAGATTTATATTCATTTGTTTGGTCCGTTGATAGTAAGATATATCTTATATAATATTTTATGTATTAATTTGAACTGAAGGTAGTTTATAATTATATATCTAATAATTACAATTAAAATTGTATTGAAAATGTCCAATAATATTCTTAGATAAGGTCTGTAGGTATTTAAAATTGTTTGATATTTTAATAATAGAACTACATTTGTTTTTTAAGGAAAATACTAACTATACCCTCTAAAATAAACCGAGTAGATAGTACTAGATACTAGATATAATATGGTTATTTAAAAAATCTAAGAGTTAAAACATTATTATAATAATAATACCAATATATAATTGATAAGGTTTAAATAGCTTATAAGTTATAACCATCTAGATAATTTCTCAAATGAAATTTAAATGCGAACTACGCGAAGCTATCTAAATTTTGACTAATGTCCTATGTTATAATTTATAAGTATTAAGTACCTTTAGTATTCTCAAAGCATGACTAAAAGCAGAAATACGATATTAAAGCAATGATAATATAAATATGATTATATAATTATTAAATGTAAAATGTATATATGGGGTACATGATTAAAGTTTTTTTTTTTTCTTGTTTAAATATATTTTGTATTTCCTAGGGGGTAGTACCCCCTGAGAACGGATCATCGTCAGTGGTATTTTATTTGAAAAAGTAGAAAAGTGCAAATAGCTTACGATTTTTAACGAGCCGGCCACGTGAACGCAACTTGGTGTACGTATATCGCACAAACATTTGTTTGTATAATACATCAATATTATAGCGCAGGTAGTCCATGAAATAACTAACTTTAATAAAGCGGTTGCGGCGGATCAATCGAAGTGGCAGTGTCTTATTTTTTGGGATCGTCCTCCTGCTTCTACGGCTGAGGCATGCTGCACGAGTGCTGAATTGACGCATCAAAAGGTGCAAAACGCTATGTGACTGAAAAAATTACACAAAACCATCAGTTTACTCAAGTTGTCAAGTAATATAGTAGAATTTTACAGCAATTTGTCTCATTGTTTCTTGTTAAACCATAGAATTCTTTCTGGCGTAATACGACTGAAGGAAATAATGACAAGAAAAATCAAAAACAGCTGGCGAAACTAAAATATATTTTTTGTTCCAACATTCGTTCAATATCAAGATCATATTTTTTTTTTTTTTTTTTTGAAATCTGGTTGGTTTATTATACATGGTTATCGGCCGGTTTTACTGTAGGGGAGGGTACGGTTAGTTCGAAATACGTGTGGCTAGATTTGTCACTGAGAATCCAGGTGGTCACCCATCCGGGAACTAGTGACACCGGCCGATGCTGGCACAAATAAAAAGTTAGTAACTGAAGCAAAATACCGAGCCACTCCAGCCACAATATTAAGTAGTTATTGTTTTCTTAAATAAGCCTAGTTTTATTAGAAATATAATTGTACAACTGTACAAATTAATTAGATTAATATAATATTAACTAAGTATATGAATTTAAAAATATATTCTTAATTAATTGACGATTCGTAAGTAAATTATTCAAGATCAGAAACTAAAAGTTTTAAATTAATATGTGCAACTCGAGAGAATTTTAATTTGGTATATAAATGGAAAGAGAGTCTTGTGTGGATAAATGTAGGTAACTAATTATTACATTGCACTATCTTATAGATAGGATTAGATAAGTAAGTATCTCTGTGATGATACGTATTTAAAACCCTTAATATAAACTATTATTTTATTTGAACGTCTAATAATTATATAATACCTTGTAGATCACAATTATAATTGAAAAATCATATCAATCAAGTAATGATTACGAGTTATAAAAAGGTTTTTTATTACAAATCCCATAATTTAAAGACATTTTATAAAATATTGAATATTTACACGTTGAAATTTAAATATTTCATTCATTATTTTCTTTAACGCTTTTGGTCCGATCGTATTGGGTTGTTGGAATAGGGAACTTAGCTGTTTCTCATTGTTGAGTAAAAATATAAATATATATAATATATGACTGGGATTTTTAGAGCGCTTTTTTTGATTTTAAAACACTGTGCAACGATGTTGCGGACAATTATTTCATTTTCAATTTTTTTTTCAATTTCACAGTACCGATTTTGTAGTTATAGTTATAAAATAATACACGAAGTACAGAATTTAATGCAGTACATTGTAATATTCTATTTTACATTAGGCAATTTTTCCGAACCCTGAATGGCCTGAATTAAAATTTAGTTGTAGAGTTTAATTTCGATCGATCTAAAAAAATTGAAATTGAATTATTATTATTTTCTGACAACATAATTAACGATATCATTATATATTGTACATAAAATTGTTCAGTGCTAGACAGTTCAAATGTTCAAAGTTCATATACCTACAAATAAATAGTGTTGCAGACGAGCTATAATAATTGTGTAAATAATTAGTTAATATAGAAGTGTTCAGAATGACGAGTTACTTATAATAAATATTCTTTTTAAAAATTCAGAGAAATCATAGAAATTTGATTCCTACACTGATATCAAGTCTACAATCTATTCAATTCTAAATATAATTATATTTTACTAATTTAATATCATATCATATATTATATATTATTGATAAACAAATTGTATTTATAAATGTGGATCGGAATTTTTAACAAATGTTTTTTTAGTGTGGAATGTTTTAAAAAGATAATAATTATATATTATTAAATAAATTCGTTTCATATCATTCAGATCGTGATGTAGGCATTTACACTTAATTTTGTTTTATTTTTTGATTGCCTCTATAAAGATTATGCTTTTTTACTTTTTCCATTAACTATACTTGCATATTTTTTTAAAGACCTTCACGTTACGATTATATCTTTATTAGTATTATAGGTAATAGAAATATTTACCTTCTATATTATCGATAGAAATAAGTGAATTTTCCATTTTTCATCATCAAAAGGGTTTGGCAAACATATTATAGTTAAGTTATTTTATTAAGTTTTGAAAGGAAAAATCCTAGGCCTAATCTTAACATTATTTTATTTTATTTTTTTATTCAATTCAATAATTAATATTTTCTTTGAAATTTATTTCAATTTTTTGTTACAATTTACTTTGCTATAAAATCCGTGGCATGGATAGTTATTACTAATTTATTTAAAAAACAATTATTATTTTTTCAACATTTAGAAGTAAACTGTTAAAATTTCAAAATTATATATTATAAATCATGTTGATCGTCAAATGAGAAATAAAAATTATTCGTTCTTATACTTCATGAACAAATTTTATTTTTGATTCCTATGTTAGTTGTATCAAAAATGAGAATCCTAGGTACTCTTTACAAATATTTTTAAAACTATTCGATCACGTATTTTTCGCGTTCGTGCATTACAATTTGTTATACTCGAAAGTAATTTATTTTTTTTAAGTACAAGCTTCGGCATACGATTACATTTTTTACATTTTTTCCAACTGCTACAATTCTCTCGGTTTAATACGAAAAACAATATTTTCGAAGAATATATGATTCGCTGTGATTTAGCCGAGCCTTTACGCGCATTACGATCGTCACAAGACCACAACATCATAACAATAATATTGTCATCATTATCATGGTAATTAATATTTATTATTATTATCATTATTATTATTGGTGGTGGGTATACTCACGAGCGCATATATAACATGATCTCTTTGAATAATAGAGACGAGCAAGTTGAACGACGTGTTGGGAATTCTGACGTAGACCACTAAAATTTCGCGGACGCGACACAACAAACACGTCAATTTCATGATGACCGTAGTCTTAGACTCGTATCTCCCAGTAATCGTCGCTATCGTCGTCGCTGTCGTCGTCGGTATCGCTGTCGGCGTCGTAGTCCTTTTTGTCCTTTTCTTTGGCTCCGTTCGTCTCGTCGCCGGTCCTGTCGCCCTCGCTGTCGTCTGTCGTGGTCGTCTCCGGCCGCTCGTCGGTTTTGTCACGCGTCCGACTGTCGCGTTGCCCCTGCTTCTCGGCGGCGGCGCTGGTCAGCCCGAATCGGCCGACCGATCGTTTCTATTCCTTCGTCCGGCGATTTCTCATGCGCCTCTCCCGGGTGACCGGGGACAGCCAAGACGAGTAATGCAGCCGCTCTAAGATGTCCCGCTCCGGATGTACGGGCCCCGCTCGCATCCGGTGATACGCTGCCGACGCGCGGTTGTACAGGTCCAGGAAGCGCTGCAACAAGTGTCTCAGTTGTTCCGCTGGCGTACGCTCTCTGCGGTTCCGGCGTCCGAACGACGGCATTCCCCCGCGGATCTACACGTATAGGACGGCAGACCGTCGGACAACTACGGTTGCGCCGGTATAAAAATGGTACGCGATTAACGGTATTAATATCGTATTATATTATTATTGTGTGTTGCGCCGGAATATTATATCATAAAAAGTTTTTGATTACGCGCGGAGCGGCGTGCGAAGCTCGAAGAGAGATGAGAACGCGCAACAGTGGCGTACGGGCTCGGCAGACGAATGCCGCTGGAGCGTTACGTCGGTCGCGCGAGACGGGTCGCGTGTACGCGAAGGCGGCCCCGGCCTATGGTTTATATAGACGCGTTGCGCCGCGGTGGTCGGGTGGCCTTGTCGCGGGGCCAGCTTGGACCGACGCCGCGCGCTTGTTGTACGCTGCGCCGCCACCGTCACCGCGAATCCTGCGCATATTATGTTCGCGCGTGTGTGTATGTGTGTGTGTGTGTGTGTGTGTGTGTGTGTGTGTGTGTGTGTGTGTGTGTGTGTGTGTATAGTACGGTGACAAAATTCGCTTGACGAAACTATCGTGCGTGCATTGGAGTGTACGATTAAAATTTATTTTTATTTTTATCCGTAATTACAGACTTTTTACGTGCATTTTAAAGACGGTGGGGGGGGCCTTCTGGCCTAAAAGGAGACAAAGGGGCACTTCCGTGGATATGGCACATTCTTATAAGCGTATTTACATAATATATACTTAAATATTACTTGGAACCTCATAATCGGTCAAGTATAGGGGATGACTGAGAAAAATAGTTCAGGATCGAAAAAAAATTCAAAATTTGAATCATAAAATCATGTTCATAGCATATTTTTATTATGATTTATGATTAATAGCTGCCGACTACGCCTGGAGCCCGCACCCTGTTCACTTTAACGGGTGCAATTGAAACCTTATTATTGGGCAATTGTAACAAAAATGTTCATACGTATCACAATTTTCAGTGAATTAACGCGCTGACGTAAATCAGCTAAAACTTATTCAAGAAAAATTATTGGGAATATTTATACTATTATACATGAAAATGAAAGACATCGATGGCTTCTTATACATTCGTTTGAACAAAATGTTATAAGAATTTTTAAATATATATATAATATACATGTACATATACTTATAATGCGAATTAAAAAAATTAACTTTCACCATCTATATATATATATATAAATACACCATCTAACTAATCACCTATTTAACGTACTAAAAGCCTTGTATGAGATGCGTGTTGAAAAATGGTTGTTTTTTTATTTATACCCTCCGAGAGTATAGGTTTATAAGTAGTACGTTGTTGATCTGCGGATCTTCGAATAACACCTATATTGTAATTGAATGTATTTTTTTTTAATTTCTTTAAATTGCCCTCGTCCTCATAATGAATGTGGGTAGTTACCCACGGAATGAAATAATAATAATTATGAATCTTAAGACTATCTATTCACCATGTGTGAATGTGTATGTGCGTGTGTGTGTGTGTGTGTGTGTGTGTGTGTGTGTGTGTGTGTGAGAGAGTATGTCAGTGGTAGGGGGAGGGTAAATAGACCACTACCGAATTGGATTTTCACTTTTTTTGCTGATTATCTTCACCACCGCTCCGGCAGCCCGTTATAGACAGCCAATCACAGCCTCGGGCTTCGGCATTATGCCGGCGTCACCGCGTATGTGTGTGAGAGAGTATGTCAGTGGTAGGGGGAGGGTAAATAGACCACTACCGAATTGGATTTTCACTTTTTTTGCTGATTATCTTCACCACCGCTCCGGCAGCCCGTTATAGACAGCCAATCACAGCCTCGGGCTTCGGCATTATGCCGGCGTCACCGCGTACACACATATGCCAACGTGAAGAAATCCAGACGGATCTTCAGCCCGCGCTTTTAATAGATTTAATTTCCCGGAAAATCCCTCCGAAGTCTGAACTCGAAACACATACACGATATTACCTACAAACGTATACACGTACGATAGCGTAATGCTTAACCCAAACCGAAAACGTTGTCCCGACCCGTGTACCTACATGACGTATTACGCACGAATATTTATTGCGCCGCACGTCTTACGATAAGTACCTATATGTGGCGTATTGACATTTTTCACTCCCTCCCTACAATATATAATATACCTACACCTTTTACTGTTTCTCAAAAACAATGATCGATTAGTTTTTGTTGTTTTTTTTTTCGTTGTTATTTGTTAATACAAATAGAAATCATGTGTTCATACGCGTAACAATAAAGACAATTATGATTTACAGATTATTTTCTAAAAACACTGTGTATACATAACAATAAATTATAACATATAGTTAATATTATTATTATTATACTATTAAAACCTGCACTTAAATTGGTAGATATAAATCATTAATGTCTAAGTTTTCGGTAAATTAATTTAACAAAAAGAATTTTACATTATTTAATATTTTTTTTTTTTGCCATTCATTTTTTATCTAAAACTTTTGATTTTCATTTATACTATGTAGGTGTAAAACGAAATAAGTCTCACCATCGTGATGTGACGTACGAAAATGTAATTTTAACTACAGATTGACTTCACAATGAACAACATTTTTATAATTAAATATATTTGTACACGAAACAAAAATCAAAATACCTAAGTAGCTTTTGTTCGTGGCACACTCGTATAAGATAGTAAACAATGACATTTTGAAATAAATAACATTTAATATCTGTTCTACGGTGTCGAACAACGTTTACAATTTCTCAATTTTGTTCTAACTTAGAATAGTTCGAGATTAAAGCAAAGTTTTTGTTATTGTATTATAATCTACAAACATAGTTTTAGAATTGTCATTTTTATTGTTATTGGTGGAACTGTGGAACCTTTGAACTTTTTACACTCTCGTGTGAATGAACGTTGAACTTTTATATTAAAGTGTATGATTAAAAATACTATATTTCTACTACATTTAAACATTAAATGAATGAATAGTGAGCTATAATAGTGGTCATGATTGGTACCTACGTTATATTGTATTGAACGATTAAATTAATTAATGATTTATGTAACTTGACATTAAAATAAAAACAGAAAAAAGTATAACAACTATTTACTCAAGATTATGAAATTAAAATATAGATGGCCGATTAATGATCAAAATCTGAATAGTTATATCAATATTAGCATACCGTGAATGAAATAAAAGACCGAAAAAATGTATATATTGCCTATGTTGATGTTCAAAAAAAAAATTTTTGAATTACGATGATTTCACTGTCAGTCAGTCAATTATTTTTTGACTTTAAAATAACTCTTAGCTACAAGCCTCTTAAAATAGTTTACCTTGTTAAAATCGGGGGAAAATATTCAGGTAAAATGTCTTTTTTTTAATTAACTCTAAAATGGTTGTTGAATTTTCAATGTATGTTTGTCTTAAATATATTTTATGAGAATTCCCGTTTGTTTTTATTAATAAGATTATTCTTGTATCATTGACATGTTAGAGATAATTATATTATGCTATTGGTGTAGTATTTCACTAAGGGAGATTTTTTGTTGAGTTATGATAAACCTAATAATCACGTAATTTAATTTGGCTTTAAATTGCATCCATTATGTTCAACAAATTGAATGAATAAATGTGTAGGTAATATTATGTTATTGTTAAAATAAGAATGTAAGGTGATATATTATTTTTATTTTTTAATTTAATTGAAATAACTTTAATTAATTAATGATTAAGGATCGAAATTTGTTTGAGAACAATAGTTAATATTATCAATATTTTCCATTATTATATTATATTATTCACGCACTATACACAGGTACACAAATCTATATATATTATATAATACATTTTTATTATAAGATATTCAATCTCAAAAAAAAAAAAATGTACAGTCTTTGTATTCATGATATGAAAACATACGTCAGGCCGCCCCTCAGTATGAGCTTTACCCCACCTAACCCCACTATCAATACGTTGATTAGTGGGTGGATGAGGTTAACATCCCACCAGCCAACCCACTTAATTTTTTTTTATAACTCAATTACTAGCGCTATACAAATTATGGCGTTAGCCATGCGAGTTTATACAAATAATATACTGAATGTTGCATATCAAAACCTCCTCATCTACCTTATATTCTTATGGGGTGGGCCCTACCTATATGACGTATGTGATATGACATAATATTCAAAACCAATAGTTACTTAAGTAATTAGTGTAGAACTAGTACATATATAGGTAATTTATTAGTACTAACTGATGTCTACAATTATCACTATTGGCTATACAAGATTCATTGTTTTATGTATTACTATCACAGCAGATATACATAGTATAATTTATTAAACTCGATAGCGGACTCCTTTTAATCATTGAAGTCTTGCCGCCACATACAGATTGAGAAATATTAACACTTTTTTTATCAAAATCAATCATTGTGGAAAGTATTTTATTAATAATATCGATGTGATATAATATATGATACATTCATAAATAATCTTGAAATCGGGTTTTCACTATTGGGTGGATTTTTCTTCTACCTTTTGGAACTTTTTGAAATTTTTTTGATCCCAAAATATTATAGTGAAGTGTGACTGCGCGTACGTAGTGTTTTCCAAGAATCTTGGTAGTTTATATTTAATTACATAAAGCGTTCGGGGAACCCACGCTACTAATGATCAGTCACTACACACAAAGTCACACATCACTCAACAATCACGATAGATATAAATTATTGCCTTCATCCGACCCCTTAAAGTGGTTTGCTTTCAACAACCATAGGTCGGTAAGACCACATTTTAAGATTTTTTATTTCAATTTCGATTTATCAACATTTGAAATGCCATAACTTCAAATAGTTTAACATTCAAAATTTTAAACATAAAATCGTATAGCAGTTATGGACTAAAATTTTAAAATCTGGCCTGATCGATCTCAATAAATTAATTCAAACCAATTTTTAAAATTATAATTATTTATGTCATTAGTAGGTCCCAGTATCATAGACATTAGTATTTTGTAATATCTAAAAATGAATACAATTTGAAACATTTTTATAATTTTTTTTTTCATAAAATATTTTAAAAAAAGACAAAAATTAAAATTAAAAATATATATATTAGATATCAGATATTCGAAATTATTTCCATTATATTATAAATAACAATTTATTGTAGACATATAACTGATTATAAATTAGTGAAATTATTTGAAAATGTGTTCAATCACAGACTCTACGAATATATTTTATAGAACTGTGTATTA